ATGAGCATAGTTGTGATAGGGGCTACACGGGAATAATAGTATTACTGACTACTACTCCTACTACTACTACTACTACTACTACTACTACTGCTACTACTGCTACTACTACTACTGCTACTACTACTCCGACGACGACTAGTTCTACTTCCACTCTGTTTGCTTACCACCACTCATCCTCCTCCTACTCCTCCGCCTCCGCCTCCTCCTCCTCCTCCTCCTCTTCCTGCTCCTGCTGCTGCTACTGCTGCTGCTGTTGCTGCTGACAATAATCATGATAAGAGTAAGAATAAGAAATATTCCTTTTCACAATAACTATAGTAATAATACCCCTACTACCGAATAACGACTGCCTGCCTCGCTTACTGCCTCCAACTTACCACAGCTTACCCTAAACCCTAAAACCTAAAACCTAAACCCTCAACCCTAAACCCCCTGGCAATCACTACTCGAAGAGTTTCGGCTGCTCCAGCCTTCCGACATCCACAGTGGACGAGGTGACGCCACGCCTGGTACCAGGCCAAGAGAGAAGGTCTAGAGCTTAAAGGCCAAGAGTCACTCAACGCAAGCTCTCTTGCAGCTACCACGCTTGAAACACTAACCCGGCACTTGCACCCGAAACCTAAACCCTTGGACAGGTGGCAAGTGGGACACAACTGGGTTTCATCTAACTCGGTGAGTGGAACCTACTTCCAACCCCATGTAGCCCTACTTCCTGTGTCTACATATCACTCTCCCCTGATTCTCCCTGAAACCGAAACCCTAAACCCCATTCTTCAAGAAGACTGCGGGCCGTTCAGAGGATAAGCCCACCTTCTGCAAGTTTGTAAAGTGAGGTTCAACCAGGACTGTCCCTTCAAGGAGAATATACAGCCACCTTCACATACTATAGGGGCCGTAATAATTAGAATAAGGTTGGGGCATCGCCGTAATAATTAGAATAAGGTTTGGGGCATACTATACTATAAATATCATAAGCAATCCCCAAAATAATATATTATACTATAATATAATAAGCCATCCACAAAATAATATAAGTAATTCTTACGGCTCCTTCGCCTTCACATAGTCACATAGTCCCTTCGTAGGAACCCGCTGCTTTCGTCGATCTGCCAAATGCTTCGGGTTTAGGGTTTAGG